TTAAAACTGTAGCCACTGACATGCTCCTCTGGGAGAATGGAGCCTTTGTCAGGGCCTGTTCAATTCCTCACGGAAGATGCCAGAATGAGGTTTCAAAGGACTGCATAAACATTTTAACAAGCTGGCAAGATCGTCCATTATAACTTGACAGAGGCAAATCAAGGGGTGATTTGTTTTCACTCCATCCTCTGGAGAAGGGAAAACACAGAACCGTGTGTATATGGAAACACAGGAATTGGTTTGGATTAATCATTTAGCTCCATAGGACACTGACAACTCTATGTTGTAATGCAGTCTGTCCCTTCCCTTGCTTTCCTGCACTGGATTCCTACACAGTTCATCACAACTCAGAATATGACTGTTGACATCCTGCTCCAAAGCAGAGAAGGACTGACCATATTTACACATTTCAACGATACCTTTGTATAAGACTTGTAGCCTACAGTAGATGAGGACTCAGCTCGCCTGTTGAGTATTCTGTTCAAAATCAATAAAACCTAGGATCCGAAACACAGTACCCTTGAGTGCCTTTCTGTGCCCCCTCATTATAAACTAAAATAACCATCAAGCCAGAGACTGACTTTACTGTAGCCCATGTTGTCAACATGCCATTCTGACTGTGTAGCACAATCAAGAGAGAAAAGAAGAGTTCTTCTTGGATATCACCAACATGACTAATATGTCATCAGGACTTCTGACAGTGCACAGTCATGCCTGTGCCTTGTTGGAAAGAGGAGGGAGAAACTAAAAAGCCATCACCTGGAGAGAAAGAAGTCCAAAATGGAAGAGAAAGGATTTGAAGGGAGAAAGAAAAAGAACTGCAGAGGTGGGAAAAGGAGAAAGTCGGAGAAACTCAGTGTCTGAGGAAGGAAATAAAGTTGAGGGAGTACTTGGGAAGGAAAAAAAATTAAGAAATTTGGAGATAAGACGATTACTAGGGTGGGGGAAGGCCTCAGAGAAGGGGCATTTCAAGGGCCAGGGGCTAGGTGACCAAAGTGGAAAGAATGGAAAGCTCAAGGCCTCTGGTGGGCTGAAGAAATTAGGAAAACAGGTGAGCAGCCAGGCCAATTCATGCGATGATTCCAGATGGGGGTGGAAGAAGACACAGTATAACAGTAGCATATTAATTTAAGAACTACTTTCAAGGTGATTTAGGTTGCAACTACACTGGCAAGCTAATTGGAGTGATTTGGCTTTGCTGCAGCTGATTAAGAGACTACTTTACATTTCTGTTCAGATTACATAATCACAAGGAGACTGTAAATTGTTTTGGTACCACTGTCCACACTAGCCCCTCAATCTGATGCAGTTTGAGCTGCACTATAGCTCCTCTTCTTTTGACCCTGCCTTCTGCTGATGCCCAGCTTTCCTTTTGAGGTTCATTGTAAAGCCAGCAGACTGTTTAAATTGTTATACGGTGCTAGGGAAAAGGTGGTGGTTGTTGTTTAGTCGTTAAGGCCTGTCCGACTCTTCGTGACTCCATGGACCAGAGCATGCCAGGTCCTCCTGTCTTCCACTGCCTCCTAGAGTTGGGTCAAATTCAAATTCAAGGGAAAATGTACAGTTCTCCAAAATTTCTTCAAAACATACAAACCCATATATACATACAACACAACACAACAGTCTACTGTGGTTCAGTAGAGTCATTTCTATTTCATATTGATTTTTTTAATCTTTTAAAAAAACTTTTGGCCAGGGAAGTGGGAGAAGGGAATGTGCAGCACCTGTGTGCCATGTGCATGAGCTGGAATGAAACACCAAACTGAGGTTCATGCTCATCTCTACTTACCAACCATCTTTGCTGTCATGTGATTGTCGTGCACCCCCAATGTCCCTACTTTTTCCCCCTCAAACCCAGGTCCACCTTTGGACATGACTTGCTTATTTCTCCTTTCACCTGCTGCCACCAGTGGATCTTGGATATTAAACATGTTTCTTTATTTGTATTACTTCACATCAATCACTGGAATAAGATCTGATGACTGTCTATTTTATAATAATGGTTGTTGTGGGGTTTTCAGGCTCTTTGGCCATGTTCTGAAGGTTGTTCTTCCTGACGTTTCACAAGTCTCTGTGGCCGGCATCTTCAGAGGAGAGCATTCTGTGCTCTGGTGTAGTTGGCTTGGGAGTGGAGTATTTACGGCTGTGAGATAGGCTTTTGTCCTTTTCTGGAGATGGGTGATTAGTGTGTTGTGTGTATCGTTGTGATAAAGCGGAGAGATTATCTGTCACTGTGATTGATGGGTGTCATTACCTGGTCTTTTGTGTGTAGTGATCCCCAGTCCTCGTGGCTGGGTAGATTTGTTGACCTACCCAGCCATACTAATCACCCATACCCAGAAAAGGACAAAGCCTATCTCACAGCCATAAATACTCAACTCCCAAGCCAGCTACACCAGAGCACAGAGTGCTGTCCTCTGAAGATGCTGGCCACAGAGACTGGCAAAACGTCAGGAAGAACAACCTTCAGAACATGGCCAAAGAGCCCGAAAAACCCACAACAACATTAGATCCCGGCCATGAAAACCTTCACAAATACATACTTTATTATACTTCTATCCTTTAACTATTCTTTAACACATCAACCAAGTACACCAACTTTCCAATCTCTCCCATAAACGTTCAAATCCTTCTCTCTCAGTCTCCAACTGTCTCCTTGACTATGCCATCCTGTCCTCTCATAGGCTCCAGCTCTAGAGCTCCACATGATGGACAGGTGGGACATGGGCATTCCACCACATCAACCAGATAAAGGGTGCTTCTCAAAGAACTACAACTCCCAGGAAGCATAACAACAGCTTTATTTGTTCATGGTGGGACCGTGGCAGCACTGGACATAAATAACTCCAAAGCCATTCTCTAGGGGAATGAAATCTAAATGTCTGCAACTCATAAAATTCCAACTCATAAAATTCTACCTATGGAATTCTTGGAGAAATCTGGGAATCACAGTCCAAAAATACAAAAGAACAAACCCTATCCAATGTATTCTCCAAGGCTTTCACCTCTTACATTTCTATTATAGCTATTTTAATTAGCTTTTGCTTACAAGATTAGTCTTATACAAGTAGTTTACAGCAGTATGTATAGGAATATTTTTTAGAAGGTGCTAAAAATGCCTGATATTTACTGACTTAGCAGTTTCAAGCTTTGTGCTACAAACTAAAAGTTGCAGTTTTTCTGCAAACAAAAAGTTTAAAATAAACCTTAAGGAAAGCATTGACAAGTACATTAACCTTCATTGATGCAAGATTTTTGATAAGGAATCATATCCAGTAGAAGATAAGAAATGAAAGACAAATATCTGCCTTGGCTCTTTCAGTAATACAAAGGGTGGGTGGAAAGAAAAACATTCATTTTGCATTCAGGAAAACATTTTCCGCAAGCAGGAAAAACACATCCAGTCTTTGGGGGATCTTTTAGATAAGGAGCTCTCAGCAGGGCTACTGCATAGCAGTGGAATCCAAGAGCACATGCAGGCAAACACACTGAACAAGAGAATCCCATGGGCACATGTATGTAAACACACTGACACACACTGGGGAGTTTCAGGTTTTTTAAAAGAAACAGGTCACTGTACACAAGTCATGGCTCAAATAGATTTCTGCAGCCAGAACAACATTTTTATAAAATAAGTCCTGCTGCTTTGTTTAATTTGCTTTTCTGTACCTCGAAGAATATAACTGTATAGTTTACAATTTTTACAATATATATTTCAATAAACAAAAGTACAATTTAAATGTAACTTGGTAATACTTAGGAATTACAAACACATTAAGTTCTCCATCAAGTTATTAGTATTTCAATATTTGTTAAATCTAATTTATTCAAGTAATTTTACTGCGTTCCTTTACAAATGACCACATATTTTCCAGCAGGCAACCTTCTTGTGGACTTATGCTGAGAATTCTCTGCTGAGCCACAATTATCAAAACCTTCTTGTCCATCTTTAAAATGCCCGTACTACCATACTTGCTGGTGTATGGCAACCAGCGACATCTGCTATTAATTAATTAACATTTGTGAACCGCAACAAATGAATGGGGTGAAGCAGGAAAAAAAAGATGTAACAATGTTTTCATTTCTACTTTGACTTTTAGATTTTTTTTAAAGCAAAGCATTTAATGGAGAACTAGAGGTGTGCATGTCTTGGGCAATTTGCACAATTTCAGAACACCATCAGAAGGAGGGACTTCTAGATCACTTCTGTATACTTTCTACTTAGAAAACTCTGGGAGGTTCACCCTAAGTTGGAAACAACTTAATGGTACATTACAATTAAGAGGCATAAATATGTTTTCATCCGAGACATGAGAAAGAAATACTGTACCTCCATTTTATGTACGGCAAGGTCTGATTCTCTCCAATAGATATAATATGGTTTGCTTTTTAACAACATTCATATATTTCTTTATGAATGAAGAACTCATTATTTGAAAACAAAAATATTGAAGAAGAATAAAAAAACGGAAAGTCTACACCTAGTGAAATATGTTTCACATTACCTATGCAGTTAATAAGCATCCTGCTATATTTTGCACTGTCTGAAGTTACTGAGTTGTCCTCAAAGAGAGCTCTATGTGCCATTCATTGCAACAATTTAAATGAGAAGTTACCAGCGCATGGTTAATTGAGCCACAATATCCCTGCCCAGGAAGGGCTGCAGTTGGTACACCAATCTAAGTTGGTGGGAAGTTCTTAATCCCATAAAGGGCAGGCACTAACTACCCTTGTTCTCTCTCCATCACCATCTCTCTCTCCCTTCCTTTACTGGCATTTTTTTAATTGAGCTATCACTTTTGAATGTTTTGTGAAGATATATTTGTATAGAAAATGCAGCCAGTATGGTGATGGGATGAGTTTGCAAGAGCCTTGAGTTACCAAGAGCTGAGCAGAGCTGTTGAAGACAGGACATTTTAGAGATTGCTTATTCATAGGATTGCCATAAGCTGGAGGTGACTTGATGGCAGGTAACAATAACAATGCAATGGAAATCTTACCTGGGTGAATGATCCGTCCTCACTGCACTCTGGAATAAAGACTGCTTCTTGAGGCTTCTTTGCTTGATCTAGTGCTTGAGCTCTTTCTAATCTGCACTTGCTTTGGCCAGCATCTGTGAAACCACTTGAGAATTTTAATAGAGGGGAAAGCAAAGCAAGAATCAACACAAGGTTGTGACATTCCATTCTGAAAAGGTCCCAGGCAAAGGTCCATGAAGAGGTATTTTACTGTATGGCATTATTTGTCAACACAGATAGTGCCTGGCTAACTAAGGCATTTAACTTATTAAGGTACCTGTTAGCTCAACATTCAATCCTGCTGAAACCACACCTGGCTCTATATTGTATCCTTGCTGCCTTTGTTCTGAGGATTATACATAGCTTCACTCTGAGTAAGACAGAAGCTGTCTCTAAGTTACACATTTTACTCAAAGTATATTGTTTACATTCCACTCCATACTGGCCTGACCTGCTAGCTCTGATGGATTTGTAAAATAAATTGCCACTCTTAAAAAAAAGGGTGAATTATTTTTCAACCTCAGTGTGGTTGCCATGATTGGCAGCTCTATATTCAGTGTGATTGCCAAGAAGGCAGTCACTGCTGTGCCAAGATATTGCCTACACCAGTGGTTCTTAACCTGGGTAATATTGCCCCCCATTTTCAGGGGGGTGATGGAAAGAAAAGGGGCAACATGAAGGCGAAAGGAACAGAAGGGGGGGATATGGGGTGATGGAGTGAGCCAAACCTGAGAAGGCAGGTGCAGCTGCCGTGCTGGCAGTGAATCTGGCAGGCGGATCCAGAGCAGCTGGTGCTAGCAGCGGATCCGGTGCCACCACTGCGCTGCCGCAGGGACGGGGGTGATGATAACTTCCTCAGTGGTTCAAGGGGGCATTTCAAAAAGGTTAAGAACCACTAGGCCCAGACACAATGGTTAATAAAAGTGCAAACACAAGTTGAGAAGCAGGATGGGGAGAGCCAAGTTGTATCTCAGATGTGGCATCCTTTATGCTAGAGACAGGAAACATGTAGCTGCCAGATATTGATGGATTATATCTCCCATTAGTTCTAACTAGTACAGACAGTAAGTGAAAAAGAAAACCCTGGGGCAACAATCTGATTGAAGTGGAAGAAATGAGAATGAAGCTTCAACATGTAAAAAAGTGTGGTATAACCATTATTTATTTGTTTGTTTGTTTGTTTGTTTGTTTGTTTGTTTGTTTGTTTGTT